ACCTGGAGACACACTTCAGCTGAATCTTAAATCAGAACCTCAGATCAGAACCTCAGATCAGAACCACAGACAGCAGGCGCGCCGCTGGAGAAGGGCGGGGGAGGTTCCTGCAATGCGTCCCACCTCCACGCAAAGCATTGTGGGAGGTGTGGTGTCTATTCATTTTTAGTTTAGTTTAAATTGTTTATTCGTTTCATTTAAAACCAAAATTTTATACACGATAAAAACAAAAGATAAACACAACATATATACACAATATATATTATATAAATATAATTTCAGAACCGTAACGCAGAACAGTCAGAGGATAAAGCTTTGTGTTATTTTATCAATCATGCTGTCACAATACTGTGTTATGTCATGGTGTTGGACACTAACAACAAGCCCTCCCTGCTGTTCAAGAAAATAATAAATAAACTCTTTAAGGGAAAGTCTTTACTATAATGTCAGATGACATTTGGCCCCTGTTTTAAATTATTATAATCCAAACTTTCTGCTGTTCAACATAATGATGACTGGTAGATAATTGGTTATTAGCGGTACTGCATTTTAATTTTAGAAAGTGCAAATCTGCTTATGAATTATAAAAATTAGTAAAACAGCTAAAGTGCAGTTGACATATTTAGTTCCACAATTAGTGGATTTGCGCTTTAGCAGACTGGTGCCCACCACTGACTGTCATTATAACTATGTTGTAGAGCAGTGTTTTCCATCCTTTTTTGACATGTGWACCCCATAAGGCATTTTGTCACACCACAAGTTCCCCCTTAGTCAAATGTGTTGATGATTCTCCAAAAGTAGAACGTACAACTGCTTATTAAATGAAAATCTTTTTATTAAATCTTCCTGACGAACATGTCAGGCMTTGTATTCTTTTCAGTTCAAATTTAACATAAACAAAAATATGTTGCCAAGCAAATAAATAATCTAGATAAATAAATACAAAACTAGATACCGCATAGCGGTAACATAATGACCCCCGCACGCACAAATGCACCAGTACTCACAAGTCTTTATTCTGAATAAATGTCATGCTACTAGGTGCATCCCAAAATTGTAGTGGTTTGGGTGGGGGTCTTTTTTTTGTGTGTGTGTGTGTGTGTGGTGGGGGTTGTAACTGATGGATAGCCCCTCATCAGAGCTAAACAACAAAATAAATCTGAAGCTCCTATGTTTAATAGTTTTTGAGCTATAACCATTTTTGTTTGTCCAGATACCCCTTTTTCAGTTAAATTGGGGGGGTGAGCTCTACACCCTCAGCAGGGTCCTGGAGGGTGCATGGGAGTTCGCCCAACCTGTCTACATGTGTTTTGTGGACTTGGAGAAGGCCATTACAGCGCGGCCATTGCCAGTATCACTCCACCCCCTGTTAACAATACGTGTTAATTAGGTTGTCAACGATAGCAATGTGATG